ATGTGGAGGAACTGGAACCTTTGTGCCTGTTGGTTGGACTGTAAAGTGGTACACACACTTTGACTAACAGTTTTGGCAGTTCTTCAAAAAGTTAAACATGGAGTTACCATGCCATATGATCCAGTAATTTCATACCTAGGTATATACTCAAGAAATTAAAACATACATCCACAAAAAAACTTACATGAATGTTCATAGCAGTATTATTCATAATATTGAAAAGTAGAAACAATCTAAATGTTCATCAGCTGATGATAGTTAAATAAATAAATTTGGTACATCCACACCATGAACTATTATTCAGCAATGAAAAAGGAACTACTGATACATGCTACAACATGGTGAAAACATGCAAAGTGAAAGAAGCCAGTCACAAAGATCATATATTGTACGGTTTCTTTTATAGAATTATTCAGAACAGAGAAATTTATAGAGACAGAAAGTTAACTGGTGGTTGCCTAGGGCTGAGCGTTTGTTGAAAAGTTGAGAAGGGGACGTGGAAAATGACTGCTAATTGGCTTGGAGTTTTTTGGGGGGTGGGGAGGAAAATGTTCTAAAAATAATTGAGGTGATTGTTGAACTCTATGAATATACAAAACACCACTGAAGAGTGTACTTTAAGTGGGTGGGTTTTATGGGATATGAAATTTATCTCAGTTAGACTATAAAGAAAATCTAAATAAAAAGCAGGCCATGAGTAGAGCAATGGTGAGACTGTGTCATGAACCACAGGTGATCCATAATCAATTATTTTATCTGAGGTCTAATAAAATTTTCTTAAGATTTATTTTTAGAGGGAGAGAAGAAGAGAAAACATCAATATGTGATAGAAACATCAATCAGTTGCCTCTCACGCACCCCCAACTGGGGACCCAGTCCACAACCCAGGCATGTGTCCTGACCAGGAATTGAAGTAGAAACCTTTCTGTTTGCGGAATGACACCCAACCCACTGAGCCACACCAGTCAGGGCTGAAGTCTAATACAATTTTTGAATTTTTTTAAAAAAAGAAAAGGAAAGAAAGAAAAACACTGGTTCACAGAATGGAGTTCTTGTTTTATATAAAGCTATAGTTTGGTTGATGCTACTATGTAATCTTATTTCTTGACACATACATAACTCTGCAAACCCCACATCATACCCAGGGCAGTCTCATTATTGTTGCTTGAAGTTAGCATGCTAGATCCAAGTGATATGTCTTTGCTGTGCTGTCCCCCAGCCATTGTTCAGAATACCCTTTTCCCTTCCCCCTCTACCTCCTCAGATCCTAGCTATTGAACTAAGTTCTGCTTCCTTTTTGAGTCCTTCCATAGGAGCATATATTGTTTACCTTTGGTTCTTTCATAGGAATCAACATATTGCTGTACTCTGTGGAACATTTTTATATATACATGTTGTATTTTGAGTGAAGGATATGGAGGAACCTATTAAGAGATTATGAAAGACACATTAGGAATAAAAAGCTTTACTGAGTAATGTAAGACATTATGAATAAGAGCAGCTCCAGGGCCAAAACCAAAATGGAATTACGGTGTTCTAGGTTCAAGGTAACTGAGCAAACTTCAGTTCCGAAGCTCTTGTTTCCCTGCTGCTTTGGCATTTCTGATCCAAGCCAGAAAGAATTCTTCCTCATTCATTTTACTCATTGCTTTACATTTTTTAATGATCATTTTCTTTTTCAAGAAAGAGAAAGTTGAAGGGGTTTTTTTGGGGGGTTTTTTTGTTTTGTTTTTTTTTTTTTCAGTTTTCTCTATGTGTAGATAACTAAAAACCAACAAAAGTCTTAATTCTGTTTCATGTCTGTCTGTTCTCCACTTGCTCCGTTCCATCTAACTTCCTACCACGTATCCTGGCAGCATTCCCCAAGTACTTCCCTAAACTACCAACAAATCCCAAAATATACTGGTCTGACTTTTAACTGCTTTTATTTTTTTCTTCCAGTCTTCTTAAAACATGTGACAAAATGATCCCAAGGGGAAACAGTTGAGAGAATAAAAAGGAGACATTCTTCCTACCCCAATTATTCAGTCCCTGAAATGTTGATTGAAGTAGTTGAACTTGCAAAATGACTTCCAGATTTAGTATATTGTAATAATTTGAGGTTTCTCCTGCATCCACAATTTAAATTTTGAGGAAATAAATTATGTTACAGCTACATTGATGATTTAGCCAGAATTTTAACAAGCTGCACAGAAATATTGAAAATAAATGTGAAATACTGGTGAAGAGGCACTAGTACTAAAGATAAAAGACCAGTATAGTTTTCATAAATCTGTCAGTTCACAGTAGTATGTATATTGAAGTGGGAGGGTGGGTGTATCCTGTTAGGTTTGGTACATTAAAGAATGAATCGCGATATCCCAGATCATTCATTGGAGGAAGCTGGCCTTAATGGGAAAATAGTGTCTTAGTAGGCAAGGAGAAGCAGATTTTGTTTATATGTGCAATACCTTTAGAGTCAGGAGTAAGAACAATACTTGAATGATTATAGGAGACCCTTGTACAGGTTTGCAGGATTAGAAGATTTTTTGCTTGGTATGTAATAGGAAATACGAGCAAAGGGAGTAGAGGATTTGTCATTGAATCTTACTGAAATTTTGCTGTTGGTCATTCTGTTGGGTCTAGCTATGGGTACCAGGTGTTTGGCTGTGACATGCTGTGAAAGCAGGTGCTTCCCCAGATGTGGCTCTCTCTGATTGCCACGCTAAGCATATCATTCATTCTCGAATACTCATTTCTGTTATAAACACCTAATGGCAATCTACGCCTATAGCCATAGCTGAAGGTAGTTCCCTTTGACAGTGTTTTCTTTGTAAAGATTTCCTGTTGGTAGGTAGAATGTACAAGCTTATGCCATTAACTTTGTATCTTCCCCTCCCCAGCAGTGTAAAATGGTAGAAAGGTTATTGATTGTAGATAGAGCATTTGTGATTCAAAATGAGAAAATTTCTATAATTTTTAAGTTGCTTACTAGGAAAATTGAAAGTCATCTGGTTTTAATTCATTGCTTGGCCTTTTCTGGACGGAAGAGACATATACTTTCCATTGAAGAATGACAACATTTGATTTCTCATAGTAGATATTATGAGATTCTAATAATGGTCCTGACTTCTAAAGCCCCTCGCGATCATTAATTTTAGAAATTTAGGAGGGATAGTTAGGAGGTAGAGGCTCTAGTAGCTGGCCAGCTGCCACTGTCAGTATGAGACGGCTGTAGTAGCCAGGAGGTGATACGAGGATTGGTCCAATGATTTTATTACAGTTTAATTCAGTGACCCTTTCTTGAGTCCCTGCTACGTATGGAAATACTGTGTGGAGGTTAGGATAAATAAAATGATATCCCTCCCATTTACTGACTAGTAGAAGGAATAAACACGTAATACGACTAAGTATAATGTAAGGCAGAGTTGTGATTGCGTGGTAGAGGGATAAACAAAGGACTGTGGAAGCACAGGGGAGGAAACCATTGACATGGTTTTTTTTGTGATGGAAATCAGTTAAGGTTTCATACAGGAAATAATATTAGACTGGTCCTTGAAACAGAGTGGTATTTCATATATGGAAAGGAAAGGAGAGGGCATGGCCCAGAGAGGAAATAGCATAAGTCAGGCACATAAACACAGGATGTGAGTAGTCTATTAATGCTAGAATGGCCAGGGATAAGTTGGAAAGGTAGGATGGATGAGAGACTGTAAATGACAATGCTAATTTAGACTTCTTTAAGCAGAAGGGCGCCACCAAATGTTTTTCAGCAAGGTGGTAATACAGGGCAGTTTGTGTAACATTCACTGTGTAATGAATGGATGGCTTAGAGAGAAATAATAGGTATAGGTAATGAGCGGCAGCATCAATCTACGTCAGAGATAAAACAGTATGAACTGAGATGGTAGGACTATAAAGAAAAATGAGGAGATAGATGTAAAGCACATTTACAGGGTAGCAGTTAAGTTTTACCATTCAGAAATGGGAAGTGAGGAAGAAAGAATAGATGACTCCAGTACTTCTAGTAACTGGGATGGTGATACCATTAATGACCATGGGATTATCACTTGAAGAGCAGATTTGATTTTGGAAAATGGTGAGTTTGAGGTGTTCCTTTCCAGGCAAGTATTAGAAGTTCATGACAAGAACTTAACAATTGAGATTAGAGTCAGAGAGATAAATTTGTAGAATTATTACCAAGCGCAGTATAGTGGGGCTAGAAGAGTTAAGCCCTCAGAAAAAATGGAGAGCAAGGAGACAGTAAAAATTAGCACATACCTTACTAGAAAACACCTGTAGATAGTAGAAAGAAGAAAAGCAAATAGCAAGAGGAGACAGTTGTCAGTGAGAATAAAACTAGGAAGGGAAGAAAAGAATTTTAGATGGTAGGTGCTGAGCATTTTCAGATGCTCCGACCACAGGGAATGTGATAGATTCCAAGCAGGAGGGAATTTCAGCCTGTTGTACATATGAGTTGTTCTTGTAAATATTTATATGCATAAAAGTACTTACAAAACAGCAATTGTCTTATTTTGAATAAGCAACCTTAATAATAATAATAATGTCATTTTGTATGATTTTTAAGTCAGTGTCATAAATATATTTCCCATAAGAAGTAAAAGTAATACGAAAATTCTGAGTCCAGTTGAGTAAGCTTGTATGAATTTATGATTCCGATGTTGTCTTAACATCAATCATTATCCAATTTGATTTTTGTTCTTAAAGGAATCAAGTACCACTTGCCTCTCTAAGCCTAGGTTTTTGAACGGAACAGTGCTTATTTTGCTGACATAAACCAATTTTGTTTACTTTTAGTTAACCGGATGTCTTTTGCATTTGAGGTCATCTGTATCCTTGTTTCACTATTATTTTAAGTTTAAGGGGCTGGTTGTATAATTTCCAAATGTTGTCTTTTTACATTGGATATTCAAACTTAATGATCCAGAACCTTTGTTCTTGTGCTTACAAGCTAGTATTTGCCAGGTTCAGATAACATGAGTATACATTTGCCTTTCTAGATTTTGGCTTCAGCAACCATTTCACCCCTGGGCAGCTGCTGAAGACATGGTGTGGCAGTCCTCCCTATGCTGCCCCTGAGCTATTTGAAGGAAAGGAGTATGATGGGCCCAAAGTGGATATCTGGGTATGTGACTGCCTTCTCTCAGGCCCTATAGCAGTAGTTACCTAATCCTGAACAATCCAATATGCTGCTTGTGCATCGAGATCTTGCTTAGCTGTTCTTTGAATTCCCAGTTTTCTGTGCAGTCTTTTCCCCAGCAGGATTGAGACACAGATTTCAAACTCTCCATTTGCATGTGCAAAAAAAAAACCACCCAGGGCAAACTTGGATGGTGCCCTTGTCAAGAACAGAGATTCTTTCTGTTGTTGCCACTTGCCTTCTTCCTGGAGGAAGAATACTAAGAGAAATTCTAGTACTGGATATTAGATATAGGATATGTTACCCAAAATTAATGTGTGGAAGCAAAGAAGAAGGTTAACTATTCTAAAGATGATTGGCCTTGACAATATCCCATATTATTTCTCATTTTTTAAAAAAAGAATAAAAAGTTCTATTATCTTGTGCATGACTCACATCATCTGCAGATACATATTATAATGTCCTCTTTTGTTTCCTCTCATGTGATTAATTGTATGTACTCTGTTTGGGATGCAGAGCCTTGGAGTCGTCCTCTATGTGCTTGTGTGTGGTGCCCTGCCATTTGATGGGAGCACACTGCAGAATCTGCGGGCACGGGTGTTGAGTGGAAAGTTCCGCATCCCATTTTTTATGTCCACAGGTAAGGGTGTTGGCAGCACACAGCTATGACTGGGTTCATGGAAAGTTAGATATGTTAAACTCTCCTAGAAATTAGGTGATGGAAATTAAATGATGGAGTATAAATGGCTCATTTAACAACCTACCTTTCTTTTTTTTTTTTTTTAAGTCCTTCCCTAAGGATATGTTTATTTATTTTTAGGCGGGGAGAGAGAGAAAGAGTGATCAGTGTAAGAGTGAAACATTGATCAGTCACACGTGTGCGCACATGCGCCTCCCCCCCCCATATGCGCCTCAACCAGGGATCAAGCCTTTTGGTATATGGGATCATGCTCCAACCGAATGACCCAGCCAGGGCTAGCAACCTTTCTTAGCTCAGGTTTGCTGAGTGGGTACCTCCAGAGGCAGGGTTCTATAGGAACAGTGTGCAGGCTTTGGCATCAGGTGGCTCTACAGAGTTTGTCTGAGTTTGGCTCTAGGCTGTGCACATAGCAGCTAGTGTTGTGTAGCAGATTACCAAGTCTTTCTGAGCTTTGATTTCTTCATCTGTAAATGGTTGACAGTTATGTGAGGATTGTTACTATGAGGACTAAATTAAATAATATATGTAAAGAATCATTAGACACATTACATAGTAGCAAGGCAACTATGTATTACTGTTTCATTCCATCATTCACCCCCTTTTCACCCTTTTTCAGGATAATATTTTCATTTCTTGGGAACCACTGAAATGTGGTAATAAATACCAACAATAAAGCAGTCTTTGAACCTTAGTGTTGCTGCTACTATTTGGTTGACCAAAAAGTTCATTCGTTTTTTCTGTAAGATGGTTCTAGTAGCATTTAGTTGTCTTGAATTTCATTCAAAACAATTTTTGTAAGATTGCATTGTGACAGTTATCATATCAGCGTGCATTTAAAAATAGTCAAAATTTATGAATTTTTCTGTAACCATTTTAATATTGAATATGTAATATTGCTGAAGATAGCCACAGCAATCAGACCAAAAGAACTAAAAGGCATCCAAACCAGAAAGGAAGAAGTAAACTGTCATTATTTGCAGATGACATAATACTATATATAGCAAACTCCAAAGATTCCACCAAGAAACAACTAGAACTGATAAATGAATTCAGCAAAGTAGTAGGATACAAAATTAATACACAAAAATCAGTTGTATTTTTATATGCCAATAATGAACAAAGAGAAAGAGAAATTAAGAAAGCAATCTTATTCACAGTTGATAGAAATGAATAAAATACCTAGAAATAAACATAACCAAGGTTTACATTAAAAGATCGGTACTCAGAAAATTATAAGACACTGAAGAAAGAAATAGAGTAAAATACAAACAAGTGGAAGTACATTCTGCGCTCATAGATAGGAAGAATTAACATCATTAAAATGTCCATACTACCCAGAGCAGTATGTAGATTGAACGCAATTTCTATCAAGATTCCAGTGACATATTTCACAGAACTAGAACAAATATTTTTTTAAATTATGTGGAACCACAAAAGGCCTTGAATAGCAATGCCAGTCCTAAAAATGAACAAAGTTGGAGGAATGATGCTGCCTAATATCAAAATATACTGGTAGTCCATGATAATCAAAACAGCATGTTACGCTCATAAAAAATGACACATAGATCAGTGGAACAGAATAGACAGCCCAGAAATGAACCCACACCTTTATAGTCAATTGATATTAGAGGAAGCAATTACATACAACGGACTAAAGATAGTTTATTCAGTAAATGCTGTTGGGAAAATTGGACAGATACATGCAGAAAAATGAAACTAGGCCATCTTATACCGCACACAAGAATAAATTTAAAATGGATCAAAGACATAAGTGTTAGACCCAAAACCATAAAAATATACAAGAAAACAGCAAAATCTCAGACATTGCTCGCAGCAATATTTTATCAGAAGGTCTCCCCAGGCAAGGGAAACAAAAGAAAAAATAAATAAATGGGACTACATCAAAATAAAAAGATTTTGTACAGCAAAGGAAATCATTAATAAAATTAAAAGACAACCCACAGAATGAAGAACATATTCACTGATAAACCTGATAAAGGGTTAATATCCAGAATTTATGAAGAACTTACAAAACAATAAGAAAAAGACAACCCAAATAAAAAAAATGAGCAAAGGACCTGAATAGACACTTCTCCTAAGAGGACATACAGATGGCCAATAGACATATGAAAAGATTCTCAATGTCACTAATGATCAGAGATGCAAATTAAAACCACAGTGAGGGACTTGTGGTCAAGATAGTGGCATAGGCAGACTTGGCACCCCTCTTTGCACAACCACAGCAAAATTACAGCTAAAATATAGAACAGCCATCACTCAGAACCATCAGAAATAGAATCGAGTGGAAGTTTGACAAGTACAGAATTAAAGAAACCACATCCATCCAGATTGGTAGAAGGGGTGCAGATGTGGAATAGGCTGGTCCCTTATCCACGTGTGGTGGCTAAAAAATTGGGAGGGAGATACCAGGAATGAGGAGTCCCAGCCTCGCCCCCACAGGTCTCCCCCTCCCTCCAGGCAAGGGTTCCAGAGCCAAAAAGATAAGTCTTCACAAGTTCTGGCTGCAAGTACCAGTGGGAGTGGAGTCAGTGGAAGAAACTTCTGGAACTCCAAGCAGTTCCTCTTGAAGAACTCACACATAGACTCCCCTGTTCGCACTCACTTCCTCTGAGCTCTAGCATTGGGATAGCAGCTTGAAAGACACTAGTGGTATACAGGGAGAATCTGAGATCAAGGTGAACAGAGGCCATTGTTTCTTTTCCAAACTTTTCCCCCCACTCCCCACAGAGCTGTAAGTTGGTGCCTTATCTGAGACTCCATCAATCTGTCTAACACTGTTTGACCTACCTTGGACATCCCCACAGACTTCACTCCACCTAACTTACAGGTCCGCCCGTGCTACTTCTACATAAGAATGGCTAGTTTGGCTCATGCTTCACAACTTCCTAAATCCTATCAAACAAGCAACAGTTGGCTTTAGTGAGCCCTAGATCTGTCACTAGGAGCAGCCAGCCTAGTTTCATAGCTTGGCTTCACCTGGGAATCTCCAAGTCTAGCACAAGTAGCAGCCATCTCAGGTTGCTTTATAGCTCAGGAAGGGTGACCCAGGCAAAACACAGGTGGGAGCTGACCTTGGTCTACACCACTTGGGAAACTCCAGGACCAGCGCACCCAATGGACACCTATATACCACTTCAGAGCACCACTACCATGCCCCTGCACAGCTGATCCACCACAGATGGTGGAGGTTGGTGGTAAGTGGTCACCACCAGTCCTTGCAACTGACTGGCTAAGATAAATTCCTCCCATTCACCCACCAACAACAACCGAGGCTCAACTACAAGATGAAGGTGTACTCAGCCCACGTGAAGGTCGTACCTCAAGTACCAGACTTGGGTGGTAGGGGAGGCTGTGTCACTGGACCCTACAGAACACCTGCTACATTAGGCCACACTACCAAGACACAGAGTCAAAGCAGCTCTACCTAAACATAGAAACAAACACCGGGAGTCTGCCAACATGAGGAGACAAAGGAACATGGCCCAAATGAAAGAACAGATCAAAAATCCACAAAAAGAACTAAACAAAATGGAAATAAACAATCTGCAACAAGATGCAGAGTTCAGGACACTGATTATAAAGATGCTCCAAGAATTTAGTGTGTACCTCAAGAGCATAAAAAAAGATCCAGTTAGAAACAAAGGATACACTAATTGAAATAAAGAACAATTTACAGGGAAACAACGGTAGAAGGGATGAAACCAAGAATCAAATCAGTGATTTGGAACATAAGGAAACAAAAAACAACCAATGAGAACCAGAAGGAAAAAGAATCCAAAAATTGAAGACAGTATAAGCAGCCTCTAGGACAACTTCTAGAGGTCCAACATTCACATCATAGGGGTCCCAGAAGGAGAAGAGAAAGAGCAAGAAATTGAAAACCTATGTGAAAATATAATGAAGGAAAACTTCCCTAATATGGTGAAGGAAATAGACATGTAAGTCCAGGAAGCACAGAGTCCCAAACAAGATGAAGATAAAGAGAAAAATCTTAAAAGCAGCAAGAAGAAAGCAGAGAGTTACCTACAAAGGAGTTCTTCCTATAAGATTCAGCTGATTTCTCAAAAAGAACTTTGCAGTCTAGAAGGGATTGGCAAGAAATACTTCACGAATAAGTCGTGAAAAACAGGGACCTATATCCAAGATTGCTCTACCCAGCAGAGCTATTATTTAGAATCAAAGGGCAGATAAAGAGCTTCTCAGACAAGAAAAAACTAAAGGAGTTCATCATCACCAAACCATTATTATATGAAATGTTAAAGGGACTTATTTAAGAAAAAGAAGATCAAAATGGTAATAAATAAAAACTATCAACAATTGAATCTAAAAAAACTAAGCAAACAGGAAGACAGACAGAATTGTGGATACAAAGAGTGTTTTGATGTTTGCCAGATGGGAGGGGGTGTGGGAGAATGGGTGAAGAGGTTAGGGGATTGAGAAATACAAATAGATAGCTACAGAATAGCCATGGAGGTGTAAGGTGCAGTATAGGAAATGGAGTAACCAAAGAACTTATATGAATGACCTGTGGACATGAACAGTGTTGGGAGTATTGCCTGAGGGCATGGGTGGTGCTGGCTGGAGGGGGCAAAGGGGAAAAATCAAGACAACTGTAATAGCATAATCAATTAATTATAATTATAAAAAAATAAAACCATAATAAGATATCATCTCACACCTGTCAGAATGGCTGTTATCAATAAATAAACAAGTGTTGTCGAGGATGTGGAGAAAGAGGAACCCTTTTGTGCTGTTGGTAGAAATACATATTGGTGCAGCCGCTATAGAAAGCAGAATGGAGATACTGCCAAATATTAAAAACATCTGCTTTTCAACCCAGTGATCCCACTTCTGGGAATATGTCCAAAGGAACCCAAAACAGCAATTCAAAAGAATATAAGCACCCATATGTTCATTGC